GACCTGAGCCGAAGGCAGATGCCCAACGACTGAGCCACCCAGGCGCCCCTACTTTTTTTACTTTAATTCCAGTATAAGCTCTGGAGAGTTTTCAACAGGGGAGTGACCTCTTCTGACTTATATGTTTGTGAAAGACGCCCCAAGCCGCTGGGTGGAGAGAGATCTGGGGGCGATCCGTGGTGGAAGCCGAGATGGGTGCAGATGATGAACGATGGCAGTTTGGACCAGAGTAAGAGCCGCGGCTGGGGGCGCGGCTGGGGGCGCGGCTGGGGGGGGCCCACCCTAACCGAACCGAGTGGGTGGTGAGGGAGAAGAGCCAAGAGCGGCGGCGTCCAAGGCTTCGCGCCCGAGAAAGGTGGGATACAGGTGTTTCCCTCTGCCAGGCTGGGGAAGCCTACTACGGTAGGAGGAGTCGGTTTGGTGAGGAAAAAGTGATCGGGAACATGTCGACTTTGAGGTATTTGACATCCACGTGGAAACATGGAGCGAGCAGTGGAGTCTGGAAGTGGAGAACAGTGGGGAGTCGGCAGCGCGGCAGGAAGGAAAAGCCATGCACGCTTGCTCTCCACAACCCCCCCCCCCCAGATGCACAAAAGGCCTAAGGGCTGAGCCCTGGAGGGGGTGGTGGGCACCACCATTTACTAGTTGGGAAAGAAAGAGACAAGAATGAAGTGCAGGGAGTAGGAAGAGAGGGTGAGCGGTATCCCAGAAGCAGAGTGAGGAAGGCATTTCAAGATGGAGGGAGGGTCATCTGTGTGGTAGGCTGCTGACTGGTCGAGTCAGCTGAGAAATCAAAATGCTCTGCGTTTTAGGCACTGGAGGTGTTCCTGGTTACCTGTTGCAGGGAGAGGTGGGCTCGAGAGCCTGAACAGAGAGGTTCAAAGAGAATAGGTTGGAGTAAGAGGCCAGCCAACCGCTAAGGTGACAGCATCCAGGATGAGGAGCAGGGGCTGACAATCTGGGCAGGGTGTCTAGACCACAGCCACATGGTCTGGGGAGCAGGGCAGGGCTTGGGACCCCAGCAGGAGAAACTGAAGTGCAAAGAATATAAATTGGGAAGAAAGGAAAAGTCCAGAACATGAACCTGGAGAGCTGGGTGGCGAGGAAGGCTCCAGCTTGAGGGCACTCTGGTGCCAGGCTCAGGGTTGTGAGACCCATTCCAGATGCTTCCATTGCTGGAGAGAAGACTGCCAGGTGATTATAATGTGCCACCATCTTCCGTTTATTCCTGAGCGTGGGACTGAGCCAGCTTGGGAGGCGCTTTGAGACCAAGAGGGCTGTGGGGGTATTCAGCCCTGGCATGGAGAGGGCAATAATTGCTGGGATCTCTGAAGGAATTTGTTGGCTTTCCTCAGAAGAATGATTCTCATAACATTTACCAAAATGAAAATCCTGATTAATTCTGCAGGTTTATAGCTCCCCAGAGGCTGGAGAAAAACATCATTTGGCACAAGAAACAAACTTTATTCTGGCTGCATAGATAATTTTGCAAACACTAGATACTGCATTGCACACATTATCCTGGAATTCCAATTCACTACATCCATAGAAGGCAAAGAAAACGGTCATGGCCAATTTCTCACACTGACACCTGGACCCTGTGCTTCCAGGGACGCCTTTTGTTCTGGATTTCCATGATGCCCTGGGCAGATGTGGTTTTGGTCAGTCCAGCAGTTCTTTTCTTTGGGAAACTGCTTCTATCTCATGATGTGCAGTTTGGATGAGCTGTCAATGATAATAGTCAACCTGACCTCTTCCTGTAGGGACGTGCTCCGGGATTACACAGTTGTAGTAGCTCAAGCCCCGGAAATAGTGATTGGCTCAAGAGGAAGGCATGGAATTAAGAAATGGCCAATTAGGATTATTTTCAGGGTTAATATATAGATAATGGTGAAGTTCTGTCTTGAAGATGCAACTTCAGAAAACGTTGAGTCTGAGTTTATCAGTTGCCATTGTCTTCATACTTTGTGGATAAAGAAGCTTGTTTGTAGCATGAAGTCTAACAGAGATGAGGTAGAGAAGGAGGGTAAGTGGGGGGAGGAGGGGAGAGACAGAGGGAGACAGGGTGGAAGTGTGGAGAGCCAGAGAGATACAGGGCGGTCTGTCAACAATATGCCTGGTTCCAGGCCTCCAGGCTCTGGAACTTTTGGTCCTGTGGGCACTCCCTGCATCCTTTTGGGGTTATGCTCTTTTTGAGTTGGGTTTCTATCTCTTACAACAGAAAGCATCTTGACTAAGACCCATGGTTTCTCGACAACTTCATGGGAAGGTGGGGGTGTGGGGTATGCACTGGAGAGTGAGGAAGGCGTGGTCAAAGAGTTTGTGAGGCAGCTGTCCCTGGGATGTCCAGGTGTCTGTCTCGGGGTCGTAGCAGTCAAAGGAGGCCAAGTCCTCGATGCTGCAGTCCGTGGTCAGCCGCCGCCCGCCCGTCACATAGAGCTTGTTCCCCATCACCGTGGCCCCGTGGTGCATCCTCCGGTCTTTCATGTCCGCACACTTGACAAATTTGTTGGACTGAGGGTCATAAGCAAGAATCCTCCTTGTGTAACCTGAAAACCAATGGCATACCAGCAAGCTCAGCATTGCTCATTTGGGACTGGAAGTCTGCAGTCTGGAAACATGTCTGATCTTTGCCATTGCCCAGTACAAAGGCTGGACTCTGAACTGAGGTGTAGAATGTTTTGGTAACCTGCCCAAGGTCCAGTGTGTGGCAGAGCTGGGGTTTAGACTCAGATCTGTCTGATTCTGGCCCCTGAATCCTTAACCTCAAGTTAAGGCAGCATTAGATTGGGAGAAGCCTCTGGATTCTAGCAGCTTTCTCTGTCTCATTGGCTTTTTCATCTCTCTCACATGCCCCTCTCCCCCCAAGAGCCTTAACAGTCCAGCAAAGGAGCCTTGGGAATTCAGGAACCATTCCCACAACGGCCTTATCTGGTCCCCACCACTTCCCACTTTCAGGATTCCCGTTTTACAGATGTGCGAACAGAGGCACAGAAAAAGATTCATAACTCGCCAAAGAGTATACAGCCAGTGACAGAGTCAGGATTTGAACCCAGGTTTGACCCTAAAATCAGTCCTCTTAACCAAGACACTATACTGCAACCGCAGAGAAATGATCCATTAGTGGCTAATATTATTAACAGTAGCAAACATTTTTTGAGTCTTTGCCAGGTATCTGGGATAGTGCTAAGTGCTTTAGATATGCGAGCACATTTTATTATCACAACAATTCCGTGAAATAGGTATTATTTCATTCCTTGTTTACAGATGAAGACAGGGAGAAACTTCTGGATGAGAAAAGAACTTTGTCAAGTCATCCACACTCCCCTAGTTGGATGGATGTGCTCTTAAAAACACTGTTTTGTAGAACAACATCTGTCTATTAGTGACCCTTTTTCCATGGGAGATGCCAAGTTTGTGTCCAGCCTAGCGATCCTCTGTTCAAACTCACCTCCTACGATAACAATCCGCTCCCCAAGCACCACTGCAGGGGCGCACACATTCTTGATCATTCTCGTCTCCATTTTGAACCATGTGTTTCTGGAAATGTGATAAACCTGAGGGAGAAATACGATCATGGTGCTGCATTTTAAAGTGATAAATAATTTTTAAAAGATAGAAGTAGTATTTAAGAGATTGAAATAGGATTCTTTTTCTTTTCACTTTTTATAATGTAGGCAGGTGTATTATTATCAATAAAATGTAATTAAATAACAGAAAGTATATGTTACTAGAAATTGGTCTTTATGTGACCCCCATGAGATCCTTGGTTCTGTCTCTATAGAATGGACCAAGAGTTACTAACGCATTGAGGTATGTGTTTGCTTACCTTGCTCGGAACATTTTTTTCTTTTAATGGGAAATGGAGCAACTTGGGTATTCATAAAACCAATGATTTTTCAATCATTTCTATTTCCGGCTCATGTTTAAATTTCTAAATGTTCCAGTGTATCAGAGAGGGCTTTAGAGCCAAGAATACATTTGGGGCTAAGTGAGGAAGGCTTTTGAACAGTTCATGCCTGAAAATCATTAGAATCATAGAGGAAGTATGAGAAAAGAGAACGAGCAAAGAGTTGGGGCAGGGCTCCTTGGCCATGGTCTGAAATAGAGTCACAAAGCATGATTCCCAGAACATGTCCCCTTCAGTTTAAATAAAGTTCAAATATCAAATATAAATTAGTTCATTACTAGCAAAATTTAGCATGAGAGATTTAGGATGGACTTCATATAAGAAAAGAAGGGGCAAAACATTTATTTACCAAAGAAAATGGCAATTCTTTCTATATAAAATTTAATTGCTACTGTATGAAGGACTCTATTTTTTATAATTTTACCAAATTTGATCTTCACAACCATCCTATGAAGTAGGTACCATTACTTGCCCACATCTTTCACATTAGATCATTGAGGCTCAGAGAGGTTAAGTGACATGCCCAAAGTCACACAGCTAGATGGAATGGAAGAGCTGGTCTGGTTGAGCCCAGAGTCCAAGTTCTTAACCACTGTACTCCTGACTCTGCCTGGGGCTGTATAGGGGTGGCCTTTTTTGTTGGAGCGGTTTGAGACTGGAGACCTCTTGAGGTCTCTCCCTTCTTGAAGTTGGTGAAGCCTAGACGAGGCCATGTGCTAGAGATGGGGGCAATCTCAATGGCTGTTAAGCCTCACTGTTTCATCTGAAAATACGTAGACGACACTAGAAAGTGGGATCCTTGGAGTAAAAGTAAACACTGAGTGAGTAATTGCCTCCTGGCTTTCTGTTCTTTGTCAGCAAGCTTGGAGTATGGTTTTAAAGATAGATTAAACATCTGCACACAATCCTCGTAATACCCCCAGAGAGGTTGGGGCAAGGATAACAAAGATGGTGCTTGACCAGTGGAGGAAGTGATGCTTTGTTATGGTGAAGGATTTGCTCAATGCCATCCAGAAACAGAGGGAGAAAAAAGGCCAGGGAGAAAGGTACACATACACACATAAATTGCACAGTGACACCACTGTTCAATAGTTCCTAAAAGAATGCATGCGTGCAGAAGAACCATCCTGTAAAGAAAACTGAATCTGTGCCAGAAAATCCGACCTATTCCATCAAGCAACCCCCAAGCTTTGATCTCATGCTATAGTTGAATGAGTAAAATTACTGTTTCAAAGCTAAGGCTAAGTAGACAAGAAAAGCTTACATGAATGCTTTTCCCCTTTTCCCCTTCTCACCACTGCAGCGTAAGAGGATTACTCACATGTTAGTGGGTTTTTTTCTGCCTTTGCAAGCATCTTGTTTGATGGTACTGTGCATTTCTTGATATGCCAGCTTAAAAGCTTTTCTGAGCTTTGTATTTATTCTTAGGAAATCAATAAAAATTTTGCAATGTGAAGTCGTTAGCATATTTGTTGACTTCATTTTGAAAAGTATTTTTTTTTAAAGAGGGAGGGGTTCTAGCTTTACATAGGAGCCCTTTGTTACAACTGCATTGTGTGGCCAGAGCTTGGTGGGGAGCAGAACACGTCTCTTTTGGCTCAAATAAATGAACGGGATTTGGAATAGAATCCAAATCTGCCTAGATGGTCAGAGAAGAGCTGAAAATATGGGCTGGGGAAGTGAAGGCATTAACAAACAAGGATTAAATTGAAGCTTGTTACTTTTCTCCATCTCCACTGGCACCAACTTAGCCCAAGCCACTTGGCTGGACCTCTAGAACAGTCCCCCAACTCTCCTCCCTTTGTTCACTCAGGCCCCACCAATCCCTTCTCCATAAGGCATCCAGAGGAACTCCTAAAAATGCAAATTTGATGACTTCAGCTACGCTGTTACTCTCAGGCTATAACCCCAATTCCTTGACAAGGTCTAGAAAGCCTGCCAGGTCAGCCTCATCTCCACAAACACCCACCCCCCGAGAATGTTCCAGAATTTCTGTAGTAGGGGCTCAGGGGCAGCAGTCTGGGTGGAGGGGTCACTCAGGGCAGCTTGAGAAGGGGGCTGATGGAGACCACGTGGGGAATAACCCCTCCCCCCCAGCTCGGCTTAGGCATACCACCTTTATGCCTCCCCCCTTTGTGTTGCAGCTACATGGTCAGGCTGTCAGTCCCTCCAGGTGATGGGCTATGCCCCTTTCTGCTCCAGAGCCTTCGGTCCAGCTGTTCCCTTACCCAGGAACACCACCTCAACAGAGGACTCTGCCTCTGCTCAGAGAGGCTTCTTGGCCCTGTCTCTATCCAAGTCATGTCCTTCTATCTTCCCAGTGATTCTCCCTCTTCATTTACCCACCTTCTCTCTTCTCTTGCCTCCCTGTTCACGTCAGTGGAAACCAACCTCGAAAGTTCACACCATCCCTGATTCCCTCTAGACTGGTTTAGGGCACGCTCCGTGCTCTTAAAGCCCCCCTCCAGTCAGCACCTGAATTGCAATTGTCCTGAAGCTCCTGGAGGGTAAGTGCATGTTCCTGCTCATGCCTGCGTCCCCAGGGCTCTTATCAGGGCTGGGGCTCAAGATAGCTCTCGTCAATGAACAAAGCAATGACCAGGGATCTCCTGCATCATCTTTAAAGACAGGCTCATTATTCAAGTTTTTCATATCATTACGTGAGCTGCAGAGATTGGAACTTGCATAAAATGCTTAATATTTTGAAATTTTGGTCTCTATTAATAACACTTCTCAGAGAGCTTGCTAGTGATATTAGCATCTACCTATCATTTAAGGTCAAGGTTCCCTAACCTGGCTACTCCTTAGAATCTCCTGGAGACGTCTGTAACAAGTATATGTCAGGACCCCACACAAAGAGATTTTGATTCAGCTGATCTGAGGTTGGGTTCCCAGGAACTTGGTAACAGACTGTGGACCAAAGCTTGGGAATCCTCTTCTAAGGTCTTGCTGAATTGGGTTAGAGGCGTCTGCAGAAATCCTGTAGAACTTCACTATCTGACATTCAATGTGTTCTAGCTTGAACTTTTATTTTTAATTTTTTTTGAAGTTTTAGACATACTAATTTTATTCCTCAAATAAAGATAAACTCTTTGTGGACAGGGGTTGTATCTGACATTCCTTTGTATGTGTTAATCTTACACAACAAAAATTCATAAATGGATAAAGTCTTGCTGAATTTAAACTTCCTTCTTTCCTTCCTCCCTTCCATCTTTCCTCCCTCCTTTATGTTTCCTCTGCAAAGGATAATGTGTGTTATATGTATGGGTGCATGCACTCATGCATGCATGTATCCATGTATGTGTACGTGCACGCATGTATATGCGTGTGTATGTGTGCACACACATGTACACGTATGTGTGTGCACGCATGACATGTGCATGCATGGGTGTACACTCATGCACTTCCGTGATGGGAGGGACCAGCCATTTACCTGGATAAGGCGTACGGGATTCTGCATGATGTCCTCTCCCCCAAAGAGGTAGAGTCTTTGGTCTTTCACAGCAACCGCAGGGTGGAGAACCCCCACTGGCATGCTGGCCATACTCTCCCAGATGTTGAAGATGCTGTTGTATCTCTCCATGGAGCCCATGACCTCCTGCCCTTCTCCAATGCCCCCAATGGAGAAGATGAAGTTCTTATGGGCAGTGCTTCTGTGGGAGTAGCGGGCCACCAGCATGGGCTGTCCCAGCCTCCACTGGTTAAGCTTCAGGGAGTAGATGTAGACGTTGTGGCTGGGCACGTTCTTCCCTGCCCCGACAGCCATGCCTCCCAGCACATAGATGCTCCGGTGCAAGGTGATGGCTGAGGCCTTGTAGAGCCGGTTCGGGAGTTTGGCAAGGTTCTGCCACTGGTTGGTCTGTCTGTTGTACAGCAGAACATCCCTGGTGGTCTGCTGGTTGTCCTTCCTCCCACCCAAGAGAATGAGGAAATCTTGGTAAGAGGTTCTTGGGGGGACATGCCATGGAGGATGGAGGTCTGGGGCGCTGGTGGTGCTGTACGTGGCAAACATCTGCCTCTTGGCCGTCTCCAGGATGGTCTGGCACGAGGGCGAAGACTGCAGGAGGGCATCATTGGCGATGAAGTGGTGGAAGAAGGCCGGGTGGATGTACTGAAGCCTGACCTGCTTGAACAGCTCCTGCAAGTGTCGCTTCCGGGCCTGGAGGTCATGCTTGATCCAAACCATGAGGGCCTCGAACACCTTCTCCTCCTCCCCACAGAGCCCATCATCCCCCAGGTAGTCTCTCAATTCCAAGGCACAGAGCTCCTTCAGGTCAGCCGAGGCAGCCACCTCTGTGAAGCACGTCAGGGCCACCTCCCTGGCTTTCTTCTTGAGGGTCTCACAACTTAAGATTTCAGACAGTCGCATCATGCCCAGGCAGTTGTTGGGGGTCAGCTGGCTCTGGAGGTAGGAGGAGCAGGCCTCCAGCAGCTTGGGGTACTGCAGCATGGAGGCTGCCTCCATCAAAGGCAGGGCATCCTCAGCCGTGATGTGCACCTCCCCAGTGTACACATACGAGATGATCTGCTCCAGAGTCGCAGAGTCGATGCCTTTCAGCTGGACTTTGGCCTCGCTTCTCTCCCGGAAGTTGCTGCAGAACATGGCCCGGAAGTAGGGGCTGCTGGAGGCCAGCACACTTCGGTGGCAGGGGACCTCGCAGGTCCCGGTACAAAGGCTCACATCAGTCAGCATCCTGTTTTGCCTCAAGCCATTGAGCTGCCTCAATAAGTCAGAGGAGAAGTCGTGGTCTTTGAAGAGCAGCCCATCTGGCAACTCCTTGTCCATCCTACAAGGAGGGGGAGAGGTCCCAAGGGGAAGCATGTGCTGAAGGGTTTAGCTGTGGTGTCTCCAAGACTCAGAGCACCTATGTCCATTCACTACGATGCTCGTGGATATTGCCAAGAATGTTGCTTAGTGAAGATTGGAAAGAGAGGCCACCTATACCCCAGACCTCACAGCCAACACCTCTCTTTTTGGTTATGATTACTCCCAAAGGTAACAAGCAAAGAGCATCTTCAGATAATCTGAGAAGAAAAAAAAAAAGAACCACCAACATTGTTGGAAGTTACCTGATGGTCAGGGGCTGAAGCAAGGTGACAGTCCATGCATTTGACCAGCCCAAATCCGTGAGCCTTGCTCCAGCTTCTCAGCATATGTTATTTAGTAAACTCGTGTAAGCATCTTTCTGGCTGTTAGTCATTCCCCCAGGAGTCATTCTGGGGGCGTGGCCCTCTGGTAACGAGACAGTACTGAAGGATGAAAATGGGCCTTTGCAATTTATTTTTTAAAACACGATTTTACAGTCTTTGGGGTTTTGTTTTGGAGATGTGACAAAGAGAAAACAGAGACCAAACAATACTCTGGGCAGGGTTTCCTGGATGACACCTGGCAGTCTACCTGTAGAAGAATTAAGCATTAGAGATCTTTACCTTGGTTTGCCGTGGTGACATCCACCGATGCCTGGTCCGGCTGGTCCCTCCGGAGAGCCTCCACCTTGGGCTCCAAGTAAAACAATAAACCTAGGCCTTTCCTTCAATTGGCAAATGATTTGTCTTGGGAGAGTTCTGGATTTGTTTATGCGAACGGTGCTTTCGCCGTTTTCTAGAACTTCGGGAAAGAAGCACTGGGCAAGGAGACAGTGTATACATTCCAGGGCTAAGAATAGTTGCATATGTACTTTCCACTGTTATGACATGTGACTCTCCAGTTGCCTTTTGCAGCAACCCGAGGGCCTGCGGGGCCAGCGCATGCCCACATGCCTTGTTTCCTTGGCAAGTGTTTACATCGGCATAAATAGATCTGGAGGAACAGCTTCTCTTCGAGAAGACTTTGCTGCCCACTTGGACACATCTCAGGTCCCTTGTCCTAAAAGTGCCTGGGAATTCTAGATGTTTGTAAACAGGTTGCTGTGACCTGGGACAGTCACTGAAGACAGTTCTGGGCAAGTTGAAGGTGATGGATGGTCTTAGGGAGGCTGGGACATGGGCCCGAGGGTTCTGTTCGGTGGGGTCTCTATTTCCCACTGTCTGGGGGCAGGATCGTTGGAGAGGGTTGTGATTTCTGCCTGCAGTCTCCGAGGAGATGAAGTCTATAACAAAAGTTGTTTTTAATATTTGTGGAGCACCCCAGAGTTTCCAGACGCAGGAAAGATCAAACCTTTGTTGGTCCCCCTGTTGCCAGCTTCTGTTGTAAAGTGGCAAGGATCCTGCTCTTCCAGGTCATCCCTGCCTCTCACAGACACATGCTGATTGCTCTTCAGTGTTTTTTTTTTTTTTTTAAGGAATTTATTTGAGAGAGAGAGAGAAATGAGTGGGGGGGAGGGGCAGAGTGAGAGGGAGAAGCAGGCTCCCTACTGAGCAGGGGGCATGGGGCTCAATCCCAGGACCCTGGGATCATGACCTGAGCCAAAGGCAGCCACTTAGCAGACTGAGCCACCCAGGCGCCCCTCTTCAGTTGTTTTTTTATGGTTCAGGCTTGCTTTTCTCTTTTACTTTTCCATTTTCTCCCATCAGGGAGGCTTGAGCTAGAGGCAGGAGGCAGGGCATATCTCTCCAGGGTGTGTCAGAGAGAGGGAGAGGGGGAGGGGGAGGGAGGAAGAGGAAAGAGGCAGAGCAGGGGAGAGAGGGAGGGAGGGAGAAGAAGAAGGAAAGAGAGGAGGAGGCAGCCCCCCAATGTAAGAATCAGAGCCACGATGGATAGCTGTGGAACCACAAAGTTGATTAAAAGGGACCCCAGCTCTCTCCTGCCCCCGCCCCCCCCAGGAGATGCTGATTGAATGCCCCAGCAGTGAGTGGCAAGGAAACCTGGTTTTCTCCCCTTCTCAAGTCTTGTTTGGACTATTGCAACAGACTCCTGTGTCGATTTTTTCCCTTGCTCCTAGTCTTCCTCCGATACAACCGCCGTGAGTAACCAGCAGAGTAACCCCAGGGAAGGCAAAGCAGACTCTACCAGGCCCCTGCATCATGCCTTTGGTGGCTTCCCAAGTCTGCAGGATAAAGTCCAGCCTTTAGCAGGAATCAGATTGGTCTGCTGCCCACCTTGAGGACTGTCTCCTGCCACGTCTCTCTCCCACTTTTATCTTTTATTCTAGCTCTAGTAGACGAGGTGCAGATCCCTGTATGTGTCTGGCCCCTGGCTGGGCTGGCCTGGCTTTTAGGGTACCACAGAGCATGGTGGAAGGATGAGTGTCTCTCCCTCATAGCTGCGGGTCACAGGGTGGCTCATGCCCCCAAGAGTCTAGAAGATCAAAGTCAGGCAGGTATCACCATAACATGTCACTGGGGCCAGGGACCCAGAGGCCAGGACTAGGAGCAGAAGACCTGAGGCAAGGGGGTCAGGGACCCATGGGGGTACAGGCAGGGAGCTGGAGAGAGGAACTGTTTAATAGCTGTCAGAGCTGGTGATTTCCCCATGCTTCTGAGCCATGCTGCGGATATGACAGGTGAGGAGCCGCATCACATAAAAGGCCCGAGGCCCCTCTGTTTCTTGCTTCTGTGCCTTTGCCCGCTCTTTCTTCCCTTTGCCATCTCTTCTACTTTCACCTCTGAACTCCTGCTCATCCTTTGAAACTTAATTTGTGTATCAGCTTCTCTGAAAGTCTTCCTTGACCCTGTCAGATGATAAATTTCTCAGTTGTCTGTAGTATTTCCATTCTTTCTGCACACTTTTTAAGATTTATTTACTTACTTTAGTGAGAGAGAAAGAGAGAGAGTGGGGGAGAGAGGCAGAGGGAGCGGAATAGAGAGACTCTCAAGCTGATTCCCCACTGAGCGTGGAGCCTGACACGGCTCGATCTCACGACTCTGAGATCATGACCTGAGCCGAAATCAAGAGTCGGACGCTTCACCGACGGAGCTACCCAGGCGCCCCCCCTTCTGCATACTTTTAATATTATATGCCTCATACCCTCCCCTCATTGCAATTATATTTACCTGTCTGTGTCCCTCTTATTAGAATGGGAGTGTCTGGACAGGAAGAACCTTGTCTCAGTTGTCTCTCTAGCCCTAGGGCCTGGCCCAGTGGCTGACACATGGTGGGTAAATGATGTATAGTTCTTTTTTT